TATGATGCACTCTGATTAATATGAAGAAGTAATCTGAAGATGATATCTCTCAAAATAAGTCCGACGGTCAGATCAGATCATAGAAGATTTTCCTGCAAATGATTGTGGACTAAAACGCCAGAAATGAATGACACATCATTGTGACGAATGAAGTCGCTGACAGCGATATCTGTCCACAGTAGAAATGGATTCACTGTCAATAATGAGAAGATGCACATCATTTGTGCGCTACAAAATTGAAAGCTGATTATGAATACATCTGTCAAATTATCCTTGGTAGAAACTTGAACAGGAAAATTGTTCTCGATAAATGTCCGCAGTAAAGGGACTGACATGTGTGTACGCGAAACGTAGTCATGATAGAAAAAGCCTTGAGAACTCATGAATACTCGTGATTTTCGAGTACTCATTGTGAATACTCGTGCTAAATTCTGAGTAAACAATCATTTCCTTTTATATCGTTCTTGGCATTTTGCAAGAATCACAATTTCGACTTTTGCTCCCAACTTGTGAAATATCAAAACTTTCGCTGATCTTTCCTAGTGCTGAAAATTCCGTGCTGAATTTGCCTCGTGCTGAACTTTCATCCTTCCAATAAATAGATCATCAATGTATCTCCAGTTTTTTATTAACTTTCTTCAATTTATTTGTCACATATTCATTCATTACGAGATCTGACAGAATAGGAGAGAGAATATTCCCCATGGAAGACCATTCTTCCGTCGGAAAAATTTGCCGTTGACTGTGAAATAACTGTTTTCCGGCAGATCGTTAGTGAATCTCTAAGATCCGCTTCCGCAAGAGAAGACTTACTGTGACCAAAACTTTTCTTCAAAGTTTATTTTATTCTTGAATATACGCAGTACAACACATGCAAATAAAACTAAACACAAACAAAAAACACCAAATAAAAACAAGGACCACTTGTCCTTCTTCTTTCTTATTTTCCTTTTCTCCCTCTATAACACACCACACATATATATCCATTTCTAATGTGTGGGCATTGGAAGTGACGTAAGAACTGATAAATGAGTAGTGGAAATGAATAGGAGAAATATGATGTTGTTCTCTGGTGGATGACATACCAGTGATGAGATACCTGATGATGAGGAGTATGACGTAGACTCGTTGTCGTACGGATGATGTCAGTGGTGATGAGGTAAACGAATATGATAGAAGAAAATGAGAAGGAGGGAGGGGCGGAAGGAGTATGACGGAGAATCGTTTTCTAACGGATGACGTAAGAAGTGATGAGATAAATGAATATGAGAGAACGGGATGAGGAAGATAGAATTCTTGAGGAGAATAGCGGACATACGTTACACCCTCCAGGAAAGTGCTTCTGCACGACTAAGTGATTTTTGTGACATATCATCACACGTAACAGATCATGGAAAGAATAGAAGCTATGCGAAGAACCGAACTTTGGCTAGATTAACGGTAAATAGAAGGGCAGAGAGACATGTAAGTCCCTCAAAACATGCAATAAAACTCAGCGAGAAAATTAAAAAAACCCAAACAAATGAACAGAAAAGCATATGATAGACCTGCATCCAAGAACGATAACTAAACAAAAAAGCAAACAAAAACAAAAAGCAATTAAGTTACGCACCATGAGGCCTTTGCGTGAGCCGTCTTGGGTGGTAGCCTTGACGATATAGTGGGAACCCTGGAATAGTAGACATTAACGGGACTCGAATATCCATTAAACGCGGTATCCGTGACTGTGATGCAGCGGAAGTTGAAACGGTGGTAGCTGTTAGTAGAGCGTCAGGATCGGGTGTCGTCGATTTGCCAGCTGCAGTCGGTGTCGATAGTGTACTGGTTGATATTGGAGACGAAGCTAATGCTGGTAATAGGGTCGTAGTTGGTGCAGATGGTGCGGTCGGAGCTTCAATTAGTGGTAGTGCGTCGTCCAAGGGGAAAAGTTCGAGTTCTACCGACATTGTAATAAAATGTAGTGCTGTGATGAGGATTGTGTTTTAATAGCGTAAATATATGTATGTATGAGATACTGAGTGCATATGAATGAATGCAAGTGGGAGTTATGCTCTTTCGTTTTGTTCTTTTTCTTTGTTTGTATGTCATGTTTACGTTTCGTATTATCTCGTAGTGTATGACTGAAGAAGTGATAAATGAGGTATGAAGATAACCTTGATTGTGCGTATGAAGACAAAACGGACATGACGACGAGAGAACTGAAATAACACATTTGAGGAAAGGAAAGAAGAAGGGGACAACGGCCGGTACTCTACGTCTGGCGGACAAGTGTGTCCCACAAGGGGAGAGGGATCCTCAAATTTTGGAGAGATGTCTAGCGCCATGCCGCCAAACCAATAACCAATAACCAGAAAACCTGTGATGACAGCAATTGTACCCATGGAAAGTGAGGCAGGAATGGCGACATCGTGAAAAGGGAGACAGAAGAGCGAGAAAGACAAACTGTCGGCTTGAAGCGGAAAGATTGATGTGTAAGTATGGTATATGTTGTCCTACAGCTTTCAGGTCGAGATTAGCCGGATCGATTTCTCTGAAAGTTTGATTGTGAAGAAGGATTAACGTAGGCCGTGGGGTTGCGATAGCTGTGGCTGTGAGAGAAAACCCAAGACAGGATAGAATAGAACCATTTGAAACATGAACTAATGTGACTGGGAGTAGATTGAGAGCATCACCGAATGTGGGAGGTGAAAATCGAGCGCTAGGACTACGAGTGCAGTTGAATGACTCGGGTTTAGATATAACCCAGAGCGAGCCAGGAAGCTGCTGTAGAAAATAAGGAAAGGGAGTGACCGGTTCAAGGACACATTGAGTGAAATTGTGGTTAGTAAGAATTTGATGGAAACATGGGAAATCTCTTAAATGCGAAATAGGAGAAGCGATAGCACAGGTAGATAATATATTAAAATCACATGGTAATAGGCCACTTGGTGTCCAGATGATAAGTGATTGATTAGTGCCTAGTCCTAAATACACAGGCATATTGGCTAAC